TAAACTAAATCTAAAAGGCAGCCAAGTTTGACTAATCTAATACCTAGACCTGTGCGCCGATGCCTCAATCGATGGCGGCGGTATTTTTTAATTTTTTTATTGGCGTACGGCGGCGCACCGATTTCGCCGCCGACAATTTAATAGGCGGCGGCGCAATATTTATTTTAAAATTTTTTTTAATGAATTTAATTTATAAATCAATTTATTTTTAATGAATTTAATTTATAAATCAATGTATTACATTTTTTATAATTTATTTGGGCGATATTTTCTAACACATTGAACATAGTTTAATTGATCTTAAATTATTTCCTGTCTCACTCCAATTTAAATTTATGTATTTTCTCATTCTCAGAAATAGACTAAGGAATTGCATTTTTACTCAGATCGAGTCACATCACAACACATATAAGAAATATTCTATTGATTTTTATTATAATTAAAATAAATTTGGAATGCTAGCAAAATATAAAGTATGAAATATACTAAGTCAGAATTCAGATTTATCGAATTTAAATATTCTGAAATAACTTTAAGATTTTGAAATCTGGGATCAAGTAGAGTTGCTAATATCTAATGTTTAAAATATTAATAAAAATATAAAATAACTTGAAGTTCAATAATGGGAAACCTATGGTCAAGCTTTGTTTTCATATTTTCTTTTAAGCTAATATAATCTGAGCAATCAGATCTATTGATTTGCATATGAGCTTCTATTTCATTGCGAAATAATAACCCTAAGTTTATTGTCGATCCTTTTTAAGAGGATAGAAATTCCACCGACTTTCGAAATAGATTTAATACTGCGTAGAGCTCATCAATCTTATCACATTCATTATTAAAGAGTTTAAAGATTGTTTTCCTATTTTTAGAACATTATTTATAGGAATTTTGTATACACTGAGAACACTTTCTAGCATAATTAATATGCTATGCCTTAGGGTTGGGCAATTTAATTTTAAAGTTGTTTCATTAATTAGATTGGTTGGTGCAATGCCATTTTTATTATCCGATTCATCAGACATATCAAAATGGTCATCAAGGTATGGATCAGAATCATCAATATCCAAGATATGACCTGTTTTCTAAATTGACTGCTGACATTTACGATGTTCAGCCTCAATTTTGCATTCCAAATCAGCTACTCGATATCTGAGGGTTTAAATAATTTCTCTAATTTTTTTAATGAGAATATCAATTCTAGCAATTTTTTTTATGCCATCAACTGTAACCAAATTATGATGTCCATGCCCTAGACATAAATGATTCATAATCGCCTAATCTGACGCTTCTTTCGACATTGGCCCAGCATCAGTTACCACATGTATTATTTTGGCTTATAAATGGAACTCCTCTTCAATACTATCAATTTCGATAATATTGTTCCCCCAGTATACTTTTGAGTCACATTTCTAGTTGCTAGGGTAAAATATTTTAAATCAAAATTTTCATATAAATGATGAAAACTAAATTTGATATAATTTCGACGCTTGAAATGATCGGTCCATAAATCAAAAGTGATAGAATAAAATTTTGGTCCAGAATCAATCAGATTTAAAACATACGCCTTTATAGATAATTAAACATCGTCTAGTGCACCCAAACTAATGGTTGTCCTATTTAGCAATTCTGACGAGGAATCAATTATCTTATATTTCTATTTTTTTAGGCAATTTATTTTTTAATAATCATTTTATATAAATTTTAAACATTTAGAAAAACTGATATTGCTTTATTGTTTATAGAATCAAATGGCATTAAATCTAAGCTGCACATCAAAACATAATTTCGTTCTATTAGATTTCATATTTAATTTAAACATTAAAAAGAATTTAAAACATTAAAATAATTAGAACTGGAATGAAACAGATAAATTTGATTTAGTTTTAACTTTCAAAATAAAGTTTTAAATAATTAATTTAATAAGTTATATATTAAGTTTATACATTAAAAAGATATTTAAAAAACATCAAAATAATTAGAGCTGGAATGAAACAAATTATAAACTTGATTTAGTTTTAACATTCAAAATAAAGTTTTACATAATTAATTAAATTATATATTAAGTTTATACATTAAAAAGATCTCAAAATAGAGCTGGCAATAAACAAACTAAAAATTTAGTTGTTTTGAACTTTCAAAATAAAGCTTTAATTTAACAAACCAGTAAAAATTTTAATTGAATAATAATAAAAAATAATAATAACCTAAGAGCCATTTTTTATCTTTTATATTGTTGATACATCTTGGTGTTTGGCTTTGAATTTTTAGACTTTAAATGGATTTATCATTATTAATATTTTATGAACATTAACTAAGTGCCGGGAAAGATTACTTGTAATTATATTCTTACCAAAAAATTTTATTTCATAACTAAAATATAAAATATATATAAAAGTCTAAAATAAAAATAAATTACTGTGAAAATGAATTATGTATTTGAATCTCCTCATCTTTTTTCGCCAATTTTAAGCAATATATATAATCAGGCATTATTATGCTTTATTTATTTTCATTCTTTAAAATAAGACTTCCAAAGTACCTCCAGACATAACTTGATTTATGATTAGTAGAGAGAGTTGTTATTTCATAATTGTATATAGGGTGGTTTAAAACGTGAAAGTCCATAAAAATAATTAATATTAATTGTTTGTGGAAATAAAATATGATGTATGAATGAATGTAAATAATATACACTATTCTACTATATATAGCAATAGAATACAATTCATATTTTAATTTAATTAATGTTAGTATTCAAATTAAAATAATAATAATTTAATATATCAATTTAATTAATATGCTTTCTAAAAATCACACACGCCACGCCACCGCCATAATAAAAATTGGTGGCGAGCCGGCTCGCGCCGATGATATCAATCGGGGGCTTTTTCAGCGTGAATAAAAATATCGGCGGCGCACATGTCTACTAATACGCAACAATAATATATTAGTTAATAAATCCTTTGATGCATTTTTATATCTAAAAATACTTCAATTAATATTTTTCTTATAGGTTTAATTTAATTCGCATTTCCCTCAAGTGCTACAGTTTAAGAAATATTTAGTATGGCAAAGCTTATTTATCTTATAAAAAAAATCAATCTAGAGTATTTTCTTAAATAAAAAGGTGGTCTTTTTAATTGTTATTTTAATATTTTTTACCTAATTTAATTCTTGTTTTATCATTTTATTAAATATAAGAGTATTATTTTAGAAATATAAAATCAACTGAATAATATAATTAAAGATCATTTGGTACGTTATTTAAAATTTTTGCAAGTTAATAATGAATTTCTTTTATTAACTTTGAAAGTTTCTAATTTCTGAAACTCTTACTTAAAAATAGATTTATTAAGAACCTGGTAATAATGATAATGGTTGAGATAAAAAAATCCAGAACATAACTAGATTAAAGAATAAATAGAAAAGCTATTAAAATAAAACTTTATATAATGGTCTTTTTGATAAAAAAAATACTGCTTATTATGATTCATTATTTACTGCTCAAAAAATCATAGAAAATTATTTTGTTAATTATTACTCATGATATATTAAATTTGGTATTGTAGTGAACATCAAACTCTTTGTTTTTTATTGGGATTAATATGAAAATGCTTTGTCATACTTATGGTTTTAATATTCCAATAAACAAAAGCTGAAATAAATTTTTCAAATAATATAAAATAAATTATACAAAAAAATTATATTAATTGAATAGTAAATCAATATTAAATATTGATAAAAGACCAGTCCAGACTCTCCCTCAGAAAAAGAATCGTCCCGATCTAAGACATGTAGAACCCGACCGTTGACCTTCACTAAACTTGGGGCTAATAAAATATAAATAATTTTATTAATAAATGTAATATTTTTACATTATTATTTATATATATCAATATTTTTTTTGCATCTTTAAATTTGAAAATTTTATGAACATGGATTATATATTAAATTTTTTTTTAAGGTGTATACAAAGTAGTGAAGCTACTCTTTAAAAAGATAGCTAATAGCGCACTACTTTTCCGAAGAAATAGCAATAGCGCGTTGTATTTTCTAAAAAATAATGTTAGCGCCCTACCTTTTAGCCTGGTATGTTATCAATAGCGTGCTACTTTCAAAAGTAGCATTTAACAACACTGAAGAATATTCACAAGTACATCTAATATATAAATTAATACAATAAAATTTTGTCAGTTAATTTTTTAAATCTAATTCTTTTCAGGACTTTTAAAAATATGTTAGGCAGTCATTTACGGTTTTTTCATTTTATTTTGATATAAACTTTATATATTTCCCAATATGTCTCAAAATTAAGTCTAAATCAGAGTCAGAAAAAGTATACCAATTCTTCAGTCTATAAAAACTCAAATATTCATAAAGGAGGAGAATGTCTAAAGAGAAGATTTTAGAGCAATCTCCCTAGCCACAGCTTGCTCAATTTTCAGAGTATAAGATGAACCAATATCAATATTTCGATTATTCTATAAATCCATTCTTCGTCATATTCATAAAGGATTTAAGATTTTATAACAATGTGAATTCAAGATAATATATGATTCTCGTGATGCTAGTAAAAGTCTTTCAATAATTTAATTATGAAACTCGTCGTACCTTATAAAACTTGTGGATTTAATATAACTACTCAAAATTTAATTTAACTATTTAGAAAATAATATTGATCGAAAATGGAAAAGACCTTCCCGTATGTTCGAAAAAAAAGATGACGTTATATATAGTAGAACCTTCATTAAATGACTATTTAATCGCAATTCATTAGGAGGTCATTTTTAAAAAAATATTACGTGTTTATTATATTAGATGGTATATATATATATATATACTATAAAATAAATTATTTACTATAACTTATATGATTTGTAAGTATAACTATTAACTATAATTTATAAAAACGATATCTATAACATAAGAAATTTAATTTTATAAAACTTTTGCTGACACACATCAAACAATTGTGTTCTACATTTCAATATTGCTTATTACAGCATGGGTAAATTCTTTTGTACTTTAAATAAGGCATCTTTTACCCATTTCTGATGTTTAGGCAATTCCAAATATCCCAACATGTTAGATGCCGACCATAACATAGCTGTTGGATTTGCTATATGTTTTCCAACAGCTTCTGCAAATGGATGCCTAGCCCCTGTTTCAAAGACAGCGCAATGATTTGAATGACTCTGACCGGGTACGACTCCCGCCCCTCCCACTAATCCAGCAGCTAAATTATCAACAATATTTCCATAAAGATTTGGCATAACCATAACATCGAATTGCCATGGATTCCAAACTAATTGCATACAACAATTATCGACTATGGTATCAGTAAACTTTATACTAGGATATAATTTTGCTATTTCTCTGCAACAATTTAAGAATAAACCATCTCCTAATTTCATGATATTGGCTTTATGCACAGCTGTAACCTTTTTACGTCCATATTTGACAGCGAAATCGAAAGCGAATTTGGCTATTCTTTCGGATTTAAATCTCGTTATGATTTTCATACTTTCAACGACTCCTGGAACACTTTCATGTTCTAATGCACTATATTCACTCTCGGTTTGTTCACGAATAATTATAAAATCTAGATCATCATGTCTAGTCTTTAAACCTGGGATACTGGATATCCAAACTACGTTAGCAAACAGATCTAAAGCTCTTCTCATTTGCATATTGAGCGTTTGGATATCGTCTAAAAACATTCCCTGAGACGACCTTATATTACCTTTAAGAGCTACGCCATTTCGGAATATGGATTGGATAACATCGTCAAACGGCACACTCATTGAAGGGTTAATTTCACTTACCTGCATCTCTTCAAAATGGATAGGAGCGCCTATGGATTTAAAAACATCTTTTACCGATTGCATCAAATCTGGTCCAACGCCATCACCTGGAATCATTGTCACATTTTTTTTTGTCCCCGGATCTGATTTAAGTATGGGAGAATTGTAGGAGTAAGATCGCCTTAAAACAGCTGGTAATAATCCTATATGTTTAAATGTTTGAATCATTTTTAAATAAGCTTTATAAATAGAACTATTATTAGAATAATGACGGATAATAAAAGGTCAAATTAAGATTTTTTTAAAAAAAATGATGTTTAAATTCATTCATTCATTCATTACCACGCCAGAAATTGCACCGTGCAATTTCATCACCCACCAGGAGTTGTAGCGTGCACCATGTATATTCACTAGTATATAGATCCTATACATGATGTATACCCGTTTTATTATAGTGGACGGTACCACTATGTAGTCAGCTAGCATAGTAAAGAAGAGAGGAGTAAGAAAGAGGCAACGAAAAAATATTTCATAACTTTTATAAACATTTTAAAATGAAATATAATCATTCATTACGTATTTTACATGCAGTGTTTTTTAAGTAAATTGTCAAATGTTTTGTTGATTCGTATTTTTCACAATATCAATTATAAAATATTGGAAATTTTCTAGAGATGGAATAAATATTATCACAAATTAAACCAATCTCTTAAATATCTTCATAAAGTTACAATTAAAATATAAATGTGCTTTCTTAAAATATCCAATAATTGTATCCAATCCTACTTTATCTCATGATAAACTCTTCCAGAAAGAGCATTTATTTTTCCTACAAGTTATATAATATAATTCTAAAGAATGAATTACTAAAAATTTTAATATGTAATTTCTGTAAACCTTTAAATATTCTCATTATATTTTTTGATTAATTTGGTGTACAACTGATGTTGTATTGCCAGTATATTATTTGAAAGATATTTGTTAGGATGAGCAGGACGATTGTCAATAGTGAAATTAGGTTTGTGCCATTCGTTTTTCTTAAATTTTATCAAATGGTTACATTGTAGAGATCATTTTAGCCTTAGATAGAATTTTTTAATCACTAGTCAGGATAGAAATGTGGTCAATATAAAGTGAATGAATAACATTAATCTTAATATACCAGCTCAGGGTACAGAAGTAAACGGTCAATTTGAAAGGTAGTCATATATGGAGATTTTATTAGTGACGTAAGGTAATGTCAAATAACGTCGTTACTAACGGCATCATCTTTTTTGAAGAAAAGAAACGCCATTTGTTCTTATAGAAATAACGATTAACGCTAATAGCACAGTAACGCAAAACATTAATCGTTACTTCAAATTTTTTTAAAAAATATGGAAAAACATATTTTATTTTATTATAAAATACATTTTAAATTTTATAAATAATTTATGCCTAGTTTTAATCATCAACCTCTAAATTCCTTTATTTAAAATTTTTGTTGTTAAATTTTTAGCCAAGATGTTAATCTGATTAATATTAAATCAATCAATGTATGGTAATTTATATTCTTTCTCTAATATTATATTAATAATATTTTATAAAGAATATTATGTCAATTGTACATATCCTTCAGATGAAAATGAGTTAAGCCTGCCTGGCTCCCATATAAAACATATTTTACACTAATAAAGAAAACTTTGCACAATGTTTTCACCTTGTAAGTGTTAATTGTTTCCCAACTCAAATATTTTAACCTCAATTGTGGAATAAACAAAGGCATCCTCCAAACTGTCATGCCATTTTAAGGAAAAAATAAGAAGATATGATTAAACTTGCTATAACACGATGAAATTCTTTCTAAAACTCCGTGAAATTAATAGATAGTCTTGTTAAGGAGAATGACTACATATTTGACCATTTGTGATAAATCCAAATTTCGTTCATAGATGACTATTGTGTGACTATTATATTTATGATTTTATAGGTTATGATCTCACTCCCACGATAACTTTTATAGTATTAAAAAAATGGTTTTAATTGATTTCATTGTGTTAGCCACTTATTAATGCAATTCTGCAAGACAAGAATGGTATAACAGTTGATATATTGTTTACAATTTATATTGTAATAATATTTTATTTAAATAGATGCGAACCCATCTATAAAGATGAATATATTTTATTAGAAATATTTCACCAGCAATTTAAATCAGATTGGCCTTGGTAAAACCAGATGTAAACGAAGGGAAAATGTTGAACATATTTCCTGTTCGAGAAAAGTTCTTGACAAAGAAAAAATGATTTAAAAAACAATATACCTATAGATTATTTTTTGATAAAGATAAGAAAATATTGGATGAGGATCTAAATGAAGATTTTTATCAAGTTGAAAAGTTTTTTTTCAAAATAAAGATTAATCATTAAAATATAAATATATCAGGTAGTAGCGATATTTATATAAATGTAAGATAACTGTATGTTTAAAATGGGAAATGTTATTACAGTCGAAAATATATAGAAACCTGATAGAATTTATCCTTTTGATACAAAAAAAATATATTATTATAGAAAACAGGGATTGAAGGCTTTGGTGATTTTAGATAGGGCAAATTTTGGGGTCTCTTCCCGGAAATAACCCCCGGAAATAAATCCCTTAAAAAAGAAACTTTCCTAAAATATAAATAAAAAGAGTAATTTATTTAATTCAAATTTGACGGTATAAATAACACTTTTTGAAATTCTCTCACGTAACATAGGATTGATACATGCCAAATCACCTAATTTTTGCTACTTTTTTGACAAATATTTTTCAAACTAATTTTTTTTGCTGAAAGCTATATTTCCATGATAATAAGGTTTATATTAGAACTAACTGTTTATTTATAGTTTACAATATAAATATTTTTTGACTAGTATCTCAGTTGAGAAAGGTCCCCTTTTGGAACATATCAAAAGTTTTTGGTCATTTTTTTGCTGAAAACCCTTATATTGGACGAGTAGTCACCTTTACCAGACACCTCTTCCAAAAGATCTTTCGCAATCGAAAAGGGGTAGGGAGTTATGAGGTCATAAAAATATATGGGGAGGAGAAGTAAGGGGGTAGGGTAGAGGGTGAGATAAATGTGGATTGATTTTTCCTATTTTACCCATTTATATGATATATTTTATGCCAATTTTATGTGCTTAAATCTGTATAGTAACTGTAAATGAAGATAGCTAATTTTTTAGCTCCTATTTGTAGATTTTATTATTTATTTAACATATTTTAATATATTTGTTTTTAACTATCCCCCCCCCCCCCCAAAAAAAAAAATGTTCTAAAGGTCTTGTACTTAATTTTTTATTTTCGTTCTATATCTTTCTCCTTTTCCTTTGCAAATTGTACTTATAGGTATCAGAGATCGGCATGCCAAGCCCGAAAATCGAAAATTCTGGGAGGGGAAAAATATTTTTACCCAAGCCCGACATTTCACAAATATTTTTAGACTTATAATTAAACAAGTTTATATCTTCCTATTCATAAAAGATTGTTACGTCCGGTAAATAGTAAAGAAATTATTATACGAGCCAAACTAAACTATTAACGGGACAAAAGCTTTTTAAAAATTCATGAACCAAGCCACGTTGAACTTTTACATTATCACCTTGAGTCCCACTTGTCGATGACACCACTTAATGACTTAAGCCGTTCACCTGGACAATAACCTGCTTCCCCACCAAAGGCCAATTACTCTCTTTCCGCCCTTTGCCCCTGGCTCTAAAAATGTATAAATATCCGATAAGAAAAAAAAATCGAAAATTAATTTTACATTATTATACTTTATTTTTTTTAATTATTCGTTATATTTCTTTATTTAATTATATATATCAATATAAAATTATTTAAATAATATATCTGAAGAAGGGGAAATTTTAAAATTATGATTGTTTTAAAAAAATGGTAGAAGGGATAAAATTTTCTGGCAATGGGTGCAAGGGTGGAGACAAAGTTGGATCTGCATATCTCGAGAGATATTCTTTGTCTAAAGTATAAATTTTCTTTAGGGTCTCCGATTGTTAATATTTATCTAACGTTTTTTAAAAAAGTATTGCTTCTTTGCCGAAGATCCCAAAGTGATTATAACTAAGGTAAAAAGATGATATTTTCTAATTGAAAATATTTTTTGCGTTTGGGTGAATCGACGACCGCTATTGATGCATATCGAGTAGCAAACGCATTTTTACAGGTATAAGATTGTCCTTTCAACCAAGGCTAGTGTGACATTGGCAGAAATATTTGGACTAACTTGTTCTAAAGTATAAGGAATATTTACTTATAATAGTGCTTTGTGAATTAGGTGGAATATTGACCGATGACGAGGGTGTCTACCTTTAGAATATTTGTCGACCAGAATTTTATAAAGAGTGCGTGAGTGTGGAATGACAATATTACATTTTAGATGGAGCTCTAATGACATCCTGAGTTCTTCGAGTGCATATTGACAGAGGATGGCATCGAGCCATTCATACCAGTTATGGTTGTTGATAAAAAGACATAGGTAACTTCCTCTGATTGAGGATGGTAAGAAGATGGAACGTGCTATTTATATATTATAATATATACATTAGTGATCTGCATCGGGCCTAATTTTTCAAGCCCGGTCCGGCCCAAAATTTATTTTAAAAATGTTTTACCGGCCCGACCCTAACACGAAATTTTTTTAAAAAAAGTTTGCCAGCCTGGCCCAAAATTATTTAAATATCTAAATTAATTTTCATAATTACTCAAAATAAAAGACATATGTTATATGTCGCTTAGTTTCAATAAATAAAATCAAATATTTTTATTTTACATAAAAAATTAATGTAAAATTGATAAATTTAGATATATTTAAAAAATATTCAAGGTCCGACCCGACCCGGCCCAAATTTTTTAAAAAAATATTAGGCTCGACCCGGCCCGAACACGATTATTTTAAATAAAATTAGGACCACTCGGGCCCAGCCTAACTTTGCAGATCTTTAATATACATAACCATGGTTTCGTTAATGCGGTGTTTTGTAATATATAAATAGGTATTGGTGTTATCGGCAACATACCCAACTGTATCGGGGTATCTAGGTAAAATTGGTATTTAGTGTATCTCTTGTTTTAATTTTATATTCATATAATGTCGATTTTTTATAACCAGAAAACAGTTAATTATTTGCTACAACTTACAATGCAAACTATGCCACAGTAAAATTAATATCAAATAAATGTATAAGCCGATGATTTTTTACCTTTTATTTTATTAGAGAATCCAATAAATTTATCAACCAGGATATTAATTTTAAAGAGGAAATAAAATAATCAATAAAATATATTCTTTCCTCAGTTTTATACATGGAAAACAAATGAAATAATAAATATATCTAAAAACAAAATAACTCAATTATTACTTTAACTAATCGTAAATATTATTCCAAAAAATGTAACACAATATATTTTAAATACAAAAACGTAAATCATGAAGATCTATCATAACATACACATATTTTAATCTAAGTTAACATTTTCTAGATTACCTTAAACTGTTATACATGATTCCATCTTTAATAGCTTGTAATTAGTAAGGATTCGTAGTTTGTTCAAAAAAATTTTTAAAAAAATATTTCATTTTATTTACGCATATTTTTGTGCCAAACATAATTTCATTAATATTTTTGAAAAAATATCAAGTATTTTTAGATATTTTTTTTTATTAAGATAACAATCTCGGAATCACTCATTTTTTAAATTAAAAAGGATTCGTAGTTTATGGGAATTCGTATTTTAGTCACACACTTTATATCGTAGCAAATCCGGGTTATGCGCTCCCTCACTCAACTTTTCGTATAATTCCAGACTTCAATCTTTGAACCATTATAATCTTTTTATCTTCTCCCATTTCCGGTTATACCTTTAACCAAAGTATTCTTCTTTAATATTACAATTTTATAAATATTCTGTTCTTATTAACCCTGCATTCATAGTTAGCGCGAATTCGTGGTAATGTATACAAAATATTGTACAAATATAATTTTACCGTAATTTTAGTTCGTCACAAATTTGCGCTAACTGTGAATGCAGGGAAAAATTGGTACTATTTATACATCTATTTTTTTGTAAGCTTCTTGCCCTTTCAAATGGAAAACATATCGGACTTGAAAATATAATTATTTTTTATAAAAAAATTTCTTAACACTCTCATCCATAGATGAGTCTTTTTTAGCCCAACTTTAAAATAGTCTATGTAAAAATCATTTGGCATAAGTATTCCATCTTTAACAAAACCACATTTCCATTAATTATCTTTTATATTAAAGATATATAAAAACGACATATATTGAAATAACATTAATTTTTACTTAAAAATATTATTTCGATTTTAAAACGTGTCTCCTCCGAACTAAGATATCTTAGACATGTTTCAGGAAAAAGGGCAATGGATGTTAGACCTATTATATTAAATAAGAAAATAGTACTCCAAATAAAGAATATAAGCTTATTCATCACAATTATAAAAATTTTACTAATTAGTAATCACTGAGAAACACTGCCGAATAAATGTATCTCTTTCAATAAAACAAATGTTATATTTTTAGCTCATGATATAATTTTTATTTACTGTTATAATCATTAAAATCGATATTCAAAAATGAATTAATAGGATGGGGTCTTATATTAGGCTACAAAACAAATTTAAGCCTTAATCTTTGATTATTTTGCATTTCTTTATGAATACTATAAAATATATTATATACAATAATTTTTTTTAAATAATCGATGCTGATATGTATGGGTAATATGTTTTATTTTGATTCAAGTAAGTTTTCTAGATTTTCTATTTCATCTTCAATTTTATTCTGTCGTTCTATTTTTTCCATTTGTTCTTTGTCTAATTCCTTATAATCTCCATCATCTAATTTTTCTTTTAAACTCTCAATTTGACGTAATTTTTTCTTCAGATTTCTCACCTTTTTTAAAATTGCTTCGATGTCCATGTGCTTAATTATCGCTGGGGTTTCTTTTGTATGATGCTTGGTATTTGAAAGGGTTTTACTATCTTTTTTTTTAAATTAAAAAATATATTCGATTAAAAAATAATAGGGACTATTTTTATAAATCAAAATATTTTTTATTATTAGAATTGATAATGTTAAAATTATTTAATAAAAATTTGCATGATAAAGATTATTAATTATAATTAAAGGCATTAATAAAATCCAATAATTTTAATCACAATCCATTAACAGCCCTTTGAAGCAGGGATGTGAACCCTTAGACAAAAATGAAGGAACCGTATTCAGGAATACAATTTTAAAAACGGTTTGGGTTCAGGGTCTGGGTTTGGAGAACATAAAGAAATATTGACTCAAAATAACAGAATTTTTTTAAAAAAAAATTTTTGTGTACTCCGTATAAAAATACACATACATAATTTATAAGTAAAAAAATTTAAAATTTAATTTATATTTTATAAGTTTTATTTAATAGCATAGCCCTTAATATCATTTATAATAAAATATTATTACCTACACAACAAAACAAAAACATATCAAGGGTTTTTCTAATGTAGGGGGAGCAGGTTTTTCTCCCATAAATTTTATTGTAGATCTTTAGGTTTTTTTATAAAAATTTTTGGGTTTTCACTTTTTTAAAAAAATTTTTGAATTATTATAGTATTAGTCGTTATTTGTAAAGGTTAATAAATTCTATTCAAATTTTTCCTTATAGTGAGAAAAAAAAATGATTCCCCATTTATTTTTCATGAAGGAATTTTTTTGATACTTATTGGCATCATCATATAGCGTTATTTTTTAACATTTAAAAATCGCTTAATGACTTAATTTGATATTTTAAAAACTTTTGAAAATATTACCGTTTCAAATTCTTTCTAAATTACTTGATTTCACATCCTCATTCATAAGTATTATCATTAAAAACTTCTGAAAAATGTTTATTTGATAAAGACAAGATATTCAGGCATATCATAATGAATTTAAAATTTTGGTACCAATTTATAACTCTGGGAATTTAATAAATAATTTTATTATCATTGCTATAGATGTCAAATATAATAATTATAATTAGAGGTAATATTTCGAAAACTGATATTGATGATATTTTTAATCATCATATTGATAATATGTATATCGATTCACCTACAAATGCATTTATAATATTTATGAAGAAGGTCCTAGTATTCCTAATATCAATAGTAATTGGGTATTAAAAAATATTTAATCATTTGATATAACATTAAAAAATTCTCATCCCCAGATAATATTCCAACACCATATCAATATTTTAAAATGTTTTTGGGTGATGATATTAGATAACATTGTTGAGCAATCAAATCTATATTGCATTCAAAAAACTGGATATTTAAAACTCTATAAAAATGAGATTTAACAATTTATAAGTAATCATTTATTTTCCTCAATGGTAAAGGTTCCAGCACATCGCCAATATTGGTTTCAGGAATTCAAATCCCATAGGTACCTGATACAATGTTGAGAAAACGTTTTGAATAAAGAAAATATTTGCAAATTTCACGTAATATAGAATAAACCAATATTAGTAACTTCAACGAGGAAACATTAAAAAGTAATATCAAACGAATTTAATATCAATGTGTAGCCCAATCCTTAATCTTTAGATTAAATTAAAACTAAGCTGTATCTATAATAGTTTTTGAGCTAGATGAGTTTATGTGAAAGTTGATTTTCTGGCTCAGTCCAAACATGGTATATTTCAACTGGCCATAAGATATTATTCAAGAATTATATTATAAATTGAAAGTTACAATAAATAATAAATATTAACATTTCATTTTATAATCAGACTCATCTATCTAATGATAATATTTTATAAATTATTATCTAGATATTAAACATGCTTAAAATTAACCACTCATCTTTTATATATTAATAAATTTTATAAAAACATGCCAAAAAATACTTATTTCAATCCTTTCACATGTTAAACAATTTTGAGAGGAATTGGTTCAATAGATAAAAAGTTAAAGGGCGGTGACCTGGCCAGTTGGCAAACATTGCAATTCACTTGTCCCCTACATATTTTTTATTCTAACGATTTTTAGACCTAGCTTAGCCAAATCAAAAAATCCACCATGTGATTTTTTTGAAATAAATTATAATACTATTTATAATCCTTTAGACATCTAAAAATACTCATATATTTTTGATAATTTTTGTCAAATAAAGAAATTTTTACGATTGGGAGATTAGAACCGTTGCCAAATAAAGAAAGGTTAAAACTAAAATGATACTAAATCTTTATTAAATCATAAGATAAAAACATAAACAAAATAAATTAAAAATTAAAGATTAAAAAAAATTAAAATTAAAAAAATTAAGTTCGTAAAATCATAATTATAATCATCATTTTTCGCATCATAATTTCTCCTTATATATCCTTTTTCTTTAATCAACATTTGCATAGTCTCAATTTGTACCGAGATTTAATTCTTGTAGATTTGAATATCTTTGGGCTTCGTAATTTTGTTTAAAAGTAATTTGCCTGTCTGGCGTTTTTCTTAATCTAGTAAATTTGCATGTTACCACAATTACAACACCTTTCCATTTAGATTAGTCCCACCATTCTGCGAATAATCTCCTTTCTTCCGATTTTGACTTTACTGATCTTGTTTCTCCACCAAATCTATTCGTCTTAATCTTTAATGTCTTCTAGTTTCTAACGACGGCGGTCTATTGTCTAATGTCTAATATTCTTCACTTCTAAGAACTGTTTGTACCCGATTACACTCTGAAATTCTTGATTCCTTCTGTTTCTTGTCAACCCCTTGTAAACGATTATCTCTTGATCTCTATAGGCCATTGACGAATCTGTTATCATGATTCCCGATACATTCTTCTAGCTCTTTTAATTATATTTCGTTTTCATCCCAAATTATCCTAGTCTTTGCTTGTTTCTAACGGTTTCTAGTAACTAATGACGGTAATCGACTGCCGATAATGTGTCTGCGATTAACGATGGTTTCCAAGACTTCTTGTTTCTAAGATCATCGATTTTTTATCCTATACTAAAGTTTTGATAAGCAACTGGCGATAATTTGTCAACGATTAACGATAGCATCCTGGTTTTGACCACTTGTTCTACCTAGTCGCTTGTCAAGATATCCACGTTGTCTTAAGATCTCTTATACCATTGATTTCTTGTATCTTTTGATCCAAAATAAAAAATCCGATCACTAATTGAGCTCGATTGCGGCATAAATTTTCTAATGACGAAAAGCCGTTTCTCTTTATGAAGATTTTGGTTAATCAACAACCTGATATTTAGCTAAATATTATCAACTTAAATAACAGTTAACCGTATATCTTTAATAAAAATTTATAACGAATTTCTTTTAGCTACATCGATCACTTGTACGTATAACGATCTCTTGTGACGAATTCCTTTTAATTAAACGACTAATTCTATTCTTTTTCGAATTACGACCATTGATATTGACACCATGTTTCATTGACCTCATTCTTTGTCTTTGTGTCGATAGTCATTTCATACATCCCCTTCCCCCTTTATTTAGAATCTCTTTTCAGAGTTAATTAGACTGAATTATTGTAATGGCCCGGTCTCCTCCGCTCTCCAACACCAATGTAACATTTTGATAATTTAGAAGGATTGGATGATTAGAACCGTTGTCAAATAGAAAGGTTAGAACTAAAATGATACTAAATCAGACTAATATCCACCATTATATATACTTTTCTATAATATTCGTCAAATAAGAAAAGTTAGAACTAAAATGATACTAAATCTTTATTAAATAATAAAATAAAAACATAATCAAAATAAATTAATATAAATTAAAATTAAAGATTAAAAAAATTAAAAATTAAGTTCGTGAAATCATAATTTAATCATTTTTTTCGCATCATAATTTCTCCTTATATATCCTTTTTCTTTAATCAACATTTGCATCCGAGATTTAATTCTTGTAGATTTGAATATCTTTGGGCTTCGTAATTTTGTTTAAAAGTAATTTGCCTGTCTGGCGTTTTTCTTAATCTAGTAAATTTGCATGTTACCACAATTTTCTTATACAAAAAATAAGTATATTAGATTTAATACTGCACTGTGTGCTAGTATTGAACTGATCGTCTCTCTAGACTTGGGGATGACAGTATGTATATGTTATTATTATTGAGATGAAATAAAAAAATAAATAAATTATATATATGGTGAATTCCATATCAAATCAACAAAAAAAAAGTCAATTTTCAACCCGACCCCCTTCAATTTTTCTTAAATTTTGTATACTGGTAGTATATACTATAACTAAGAAAAAAATGAAATTTTACCGTCCAACACTGTTTACCCGCTAAGATATGACCGTTTAAAGTGCGGAAAAATGGTACATTTTTAACAAAATGCACCTCATTTATTTTCAAATATCTCGAGTAATAATTAAGTTAGAAAATAATTTAAATTTATTTTTTAACTTAATAAAGGTTCTTTAAAATGATATAAAAATAAATATGATCGACATTTTATTAACATCGAAAACCGGTTGTGTAAAACCGGAAATGGCCATAGAAAAAAAAGGTATTTTTTTCAAATTTTTTTTTCTGTAGATAGATATCACACTGCTTTATATTTGTACAAAATCTTAGACTGGGATGAACATGGGTTTAGGAGTTATCACTCTTTATATGGCTAAAATTGAACAAATTAAACATTAATATCATCATATTTTAATTTAATGAATAGTTATGAAATAATGTTAATTTAAAAATTATGTCTAAATGATAGGCCCTTGCCTTTTTTTATCTTTATAAAAAAAAATTTGAGAGGTGGCTGGGATAATAAGTGTTTAAAACTTTAGTTAAATTTTATCTCGAAATTAAAATTACTTGACAAAATAATTTTAATATTTTATTTAGCATAAAATAATCTACCAAAATTTAAATTCAACAATAAATTTTCCCCCATATATTGAAAATTAAAAGAAAGGCTTAATATATTATTTGACGATAATTCTATAGATTATAAAACATTCAAACAATGGATAGCAGT